TTGCGCTCAAGGCAATGGAGGTCCAGTTACAATGGGGTTGGTCTTCCATCTCCCTCATGGCTTGTGCCACTCATACGTTTTGCTTCACCACCTTGGTGACTGCAGAGTGCTTTCTCCTGGCAACCATGGTATAAGACCACTTCCTGGCCATCTGCCACCCACTGACCTATGCCCTGCTCATAACCCAAGGGTGCTGCATCAGCCTTGTGCTTGGAGCCTACAGCTGTGGCCCAGTGGGATCCATCATCCAGACCAGTGGTGCTTTCAGGTTATCCTACTATGTCCCAGACCAGATCAACCATTTCTTCTGTGATATCCCTGCAGTCTTCAAGCTCTCCTGTTCAGACACCTGGCTTTCTGAAACCATTCTTTTTGCTTCCACCAGCATTATCACTGTGGTGACCATCACCATCATCTTCATCTCGTACACACAAGTACTGTGGAATGTCCTCAGGGGCCACACTAGTCAGGGGTGACAAAAGTTTCTGTCTACCTGCACATCCCACTCTTAGTCTCTTTTATGGCACAGCCATCTTCATGTATGCCCAGCCATGGACCAAGGATGGGTCACAAGTCCAAGACAAGGTGGTCTCCATGGTTTACACTCTGGTGATCCCCATTCTTAATCCACTGATTTACAGTCTGAGGAACAAGGAGGTGAAGGAAGCCATGAAACATCTGATCAGTAGGAAGATAGGAGGCCTCTCCATGAAGTAGCTTTTAGGATTCAAGCCTTTAGCATTTGATTCTTTGAATGGGTGGAGGGTCCTCAGCTTGTTCTGGATGGGGTTGCACTCCCTTTGAAGGAGCAGGTTCATAGCACAGAACTTTGATCTGTCTTTCTCACAGTAGTCCCAGGTGGCACAGAGTATCTTCCACCAGCTTTGGTTGGTGGCCCAGTTATATTTCTATCTGGACAGAGATAGCCCAGTTTCAGTAACCTATGCTTTGGTGATCTCTAAGCTAGAATTCTGCAATTTGTTCTGTGTGGGACTACCCTTGAAGACAGTTTGGAAGCTGTAGTTTGCGAAAAATATGGAAGCCATACTGATAAATGATCACCTCAACACGGAACACCAATTCTGGCTTGCTTGCAGTGGCTGTCTATGTGCATCTGAGCCCAATTTCAGATGCTGGCTTTAACCTATAAAGCCTACACAGCTTGGGACCACAATACCCAGTGAAGCACTTTCCCAGAAACATTGTGCTCAGACACTAGGCTCTACATTTGCGGACTTCCTCTGACTGCCACCACTGATGTTGACAAGAAGGACCTTTTTAGTAGTGGCCCTCAAATTATAGAATCATCTGGCCACTGAAACCCATGTGGGTGGGGGCTATTGCCACCTGTTCTTCTTTTCAGCAGACTGAGTGGTATTTAGTGCGTTTAGTTGTTTTGTTGTTAAAATCTTGTTTAAAACATTATTGTAATGTTATGATGTTTTTACATTTTAAGAGATGCATTTTATTGTAATTCTTAACTGTTGCTTACTGTCCAGAGGGCTTCAGCTATGGGGCAGCATAAAAATAAATAAATACTAATAAGAGCAGTATTTGCAGAAACTACCAACTTCAATAATTCTTTTTAGGGTAACCAGTGTGAGAGCCAATGTGATGCAGTGGTGAGAGCATGGGACTGGGAGATCCAGGTCCTAGTCCCCACTCAGCCCAACCTACCTCACAGGGTGATTGTTGTGAGGATAAGATTGAGAGGAGGAAGAGAATTATGTAAGCCACCAAGTCCCTTGAAAGGAAAAAGGCAGGATATAAATATAATACATAATAATAAAAAATACAGATCTATATACCTTACAAGTGCCATCACTTTTTATGTTCCCACAAACTCAAGTCTGTGATTCAAACACAGCAGTGCCAGGGAAACTATGGGAGGGGAACTTGAGCAAGGCAGGCTTCATCGGTGCACTCAGGGCTTATGGAATCAAGTGAAGGGGCAGAATAGGCCACATTAATGAAGGATGCCCTATCTCTATAGGGAAAGATAAAGCTGGGAAAGGAGGAGATGATACATGCAAGAAAGCTCATTTGGAGCATGAATTGTGAAAGGTCACTCACATCTTGCTTTGTGTATGATGTAATGTCTCTAGAATTGGGACTTCTCAATTAACTGGGGTGCTGATGGCATCTGCCCTCCCCTCTCAGAACTCCATGCTTCCTATCCACTTACTGCAATCCTACCAGTGGCTGGATTGGTGGTATGGGGGAGGGATTTACTCATCAGCACGATATGGTTGTGACAACCCAGAGCATAATGTAACATATTTTGAGATAGCTTTGTCTTGAATGGGACAGTAAGACCTATTAGCTTTTTGACAACTCTCTGGCTCTATAACTCTAGCCCACGCTCAAGGGCTCAGCATGAGTGCATTGTTGTTGAAACACAGGTTAGTGTGTTGTATGAACCTAGCCAAGATAGCAGGCCATTGCCTATTAATTCCAAACAACCCATGAAGAGAACCCATGGTTTGTAACTGGGTTGTGAACTGTAGGTTGTTCTCCATGGCTTATCCTGGTGGGGTTCAGAGAATGTGATAATACATGAACAACCCATGGTTCAATGGCAACCCATTCTCAACTCTTGTTGTCTGAATCTGAACCTGCTCATTGAATCCTAATATACAAGATATGTTACTAATCCTGTTCTCTGTGTGCATGTACATGCAAGTGCATATAGCTCAACACAGCTGCTTTCCTTTTTGTACTCCCCTTGGAGGCAAACTGATGGATGTTGTCATAAGTGCCTGCATTTCAAAATTTACTACCACTAATATTCAGTTTGGAATGCTCTCAATATTTTCAGATGATCAGATAATCCTTAGTCTATGTCAGGCATTAACAATTTAACTCCTCTGAATGATTTCAGTTCTTTGGGGCTTATTTTGAAAATTAATTATGGGACCCAAATACATAAAAAAAGACTTGGATGGCACGGAAAGGAAGAGAGATCTTCCTTCACATTTAAGTTTTTTGAGCGAGTCAGTCCACAAAAAGTATTCTGGTCTTCATTTTGAGTTGTTAAATAGGATTCTGTATAGGTGTCCTCAGAAGTAGATCACACTGAGTTCAGGTAAGTGGACATTGGATGAAAACCTTTTTCGCTTCAAACATCAGACACAAGGGTTCCCAAGTTATATGCCAGTGTTTCATAGAATCCTGATTAGAACTAGCTTGAATTGATTGGAGCTTACTGTACCAACTGCTTCAGTAGAAAGGTGGCTTTTTGAAAATACTAAACACAAATACACAAATAGATGTCACATGAAGTGTTAAGGAAGCAATGTAGGGTACAATCATGAAGGAAAATCATGTGGCTTCCTTTGCTTTTGAACTGTATCCTTTCACAGTGCAAAGTCTGTCATTACAACTTTTAACATAAGAAACCCTCTTTTCAGATGCTTTCAGTTTTGATTCAATCAAGAGTAGCTCTCCAATATTGTCAGACCACAAGTCTCAAAATTCTTGACTTGTTGGCCATGCTGGCTGGGGACGATTGTAGTGGTAGTTTAAGACCTGTAGACCCAAGGTGCGGTAGACTGACCTAAGATGTTAAATCAATGAAAGCAAAGAGCAATGATATCTTAACTGAAGCTCAAGACTTTTCCCCAGTCCTCTATTCCAAAGATTTTCACTCTTAGCGAGAGAAGACCCACTGAAATGAAGGGAACAAAATAGATTAGCATTGGATATAAGCCCTCCTATTTACACAGGTGTTTCTTTGGTTGATGATCTATTTCATTTTGGGTTTTTTCTCTTTGGGAGTGTCAGCTTATGAACTTGTAACTCAGAAAATAACCTAAGGCTATTTAGGTTTCCAACACAGTACTTGGAAGCCCCTGAACTTGGGAGCTTTCAAGAAGCTGGCAGGGTGGAAGAAGTGCTGTAGGCAATCTGTCTTCTTTTCCTATTCTTTTCCACTCTTCTTTGAGTTCTGAGGGGACAGGAAAAAGGCTGGCAAAGGCTCACAATAAATCCTAATCTTGATTCTCTGATCTTGCCTCCCCATCTGCCAGAAAGCTTCCTTTTCTGCCCCAGCCTCTGAGGCAGAAAAAGTCTTGAAGAATTAGTTCACCTGGTCTCAGCTCTGATCACAAGCAGTCAGATCTCTCAATCCCCTTTCCATGGCTCAATCCCCTTTCCACAGTCTGTCACCTCCAAGGGGGAACTGAACTATCCTGTGTTTGCTGGGCCTGGAGGCTCCTTAAAAGAACGGAGTGGTTTACAAGCATCCAGTGCAGAGCAGAAAGTGCAGTGGAGAGGCAATCTTTGCCCTTTCACACTGCTCACTCTGTATTTTAATCAGACACAGCCAGTTTGGGTCAGCTAGCTACAGGGATTTGGAGGGGGAGCAAAGCAGGCTAGAGCACCATCAGGTAGCTTACACCCTGGTAGCCCGTTTCCTCCCAACACAATGCCCTCTTTTCTCCTCTCAGAGCCTGATTTGCCAGCCTGGCTCAGTTCTTTCCATGCCAGCTGTAGGGAGGAGGACTGCAGTGTGGATATCCAGCTGCAAGGGCAGAGTTCTGTCTCCACCTAGAGACCTTGGAATCCAAAATATCCTACAGTTGCCTAGGTGCTGTTTACAGGCAACAAAATTGCTCTTCTCTGCAATTTTGCATAAAATCAAATGAAATGTAAATGAATCTCTTAGGTACAGACTGAAATACTGTAGAGAGTATAAATCTTGTTCTACACTGTAACAATTAAACTATCGATTAATTAAAGTGTACATCCCTAATGTTATTCATTTGAATTCTGTTAAATGCTCATATGTTCTTTTCATGTTTGGAACCTGAAACTGGCTGAGACATAGTAAGGCAAAATAAAATTAATGACTTTGGGATTTGATCCACTATTGGTTGCACTTGCTCTTAATAAGTGTCCTCTAAGTATGACTAAGTTTACAACTAACATATTGTTGTGCACTGACCCTTCATATTGCAGCTATAACATTTTAGGTTGTAACTGATGCACTAGGAACAATGTCGTGTTAAGAACCATTTTTATTAAATATGTAACAGCAATGACATAAATTTAAAGCTTTTTAAAGAGCACCAAGAACATTAAGGCCTTTTCAAATTATTTCAGAAGGAAAACAGATGTTCCTCATTCAGCATTCAAACTGAAATGCTGCTAGGCTGCTAGGCTGAATTCAGAGATTTACACAAACTATTGCTCTGTTAGTCTGAAGCTCATTGGACATTTTTTGCCAGCTTGCTTTGGTTCTCAGAATTTGCATCATTTAAATGTTCTTTTTAGCAGGGCATCTAAGCTAACAATCATTAACATCAGCTCACAAAAAAGTGCTAGATAATAAAAGTAAACCATGCTTTCAAGTTACTTGCAATCTAGGAGAATAAGGGCTCTGCATCATGTAAGGTCTCTCTACCTTACCTCCTCCCACCTACACCACAGCATCCCATTTACCATTTCCTGAATGTGTAGCATTTTCACAGGGTTGGAGGGCAGCTTTGGGAAGGAGGGGCCGGGAAATTCCCCTTCCATCAGTGCAGTTGATCCAGTGTAAATGTGACACACCCAGAGATTTCAGCTTCAAATTGTACATTGCCAAAAAATATGAAATATGATTTTCTAGGAAAATCAACACATGGAAGGGGACAGGGCCAGCGATGGGGATAAGGAGGGAGGGTAGAGCTACAGAGTGCATCTGCACTTGCCCCATTTGAGGAGGAGAATGCTTGAATGGGGCTAGTATATACTAGGACATGAATTATTAATTTATTTTCACATCCGGCATGAAGTGACCTGTGAGGCTTATAACACAGCTTCAGAACAAGTAATTGTGGGGCTTATATGGATAGTATTAAGCCTGCACATTAAGAAACTCCTTTCCTCTAAGACTATGAATAATTAAGAAATACCCTTTTTTCCTCAGGCTGATGATGCTGAAGAAGTTTACCAGGCTGTCTGTTCGAGTCACCTGCACATATATACAGATTCCCTCATTCAAATTGTATATCATTTCAGAATAAACATGAAAAATATTAGAAAAGCTTCCCTTATTCACTGTCACCCAAAGGAACCAAGTATTTACTTTGGTATAAGAAGAAATCTGGATTGCCCAAATCAAATTGCAACATAGCTGAAAAGTGTGTAGAGCAGAATGTTTAGGATGGTGAATACTTCCTTGTCACAGGTAACATTTAGCAAGGCATCAGTTAATTCTTGGTAGAGACTGAGTGTGGTGGAAGTGGACTGAAACATTCATACATGACTGCCCCAGACACCCTGCACAGATGGCATGTCATTGGAAGGGACCAGAATTTCAAGGCACATGTGGTTTCGGCCATATTCCTCAGCAGGTACCAACTCCAAACAGGCCCTCCAGAGGATTAGCTCTTTCAAACAACTTAGCATCTTGTTTTACTGCTTGATGGGATGGGACAGCTCACAGAATGAACAGCACCGATGGAGGTCAATGTACAGAGGAACAGCCCCACAGCCGGCACACTCTGCTCCCAGCCAGGCTACCCGGTGACGTGCCTGGCAATCTTGACTGGTGCCTGTATCTCAGTCAGAGGTTAAGCCTGGGAACTACCCCTTCTGTTCAATTCAAAATGGCTGTTGCCAGAGGAGTGGCAGTTTGCAGTTTCCACGGAGATGCAGAACACAGGAGCTAATGCAGAATGTAGGATGGACATTAACAGACAAGGTCTCACTGCTTGGAGGACCCTCCACAGGAAGAGGAAAAATGGGAACCTGGGCCTAGGAATGGATGAGGCACCCTTCACCGCTTTGCCATTCAGGAAGCAAAACTCCCAACTATTTAATTGTTCCCAGGGCATGTATGGCTGCATTTTCCACCAGTTCCACCTTCTGGCCTTCTTTTGCCGGCATCATCACCAGGTTCACCATTGCCCGGGCCACGGTCACCGTGGGGACAGACAGAGCTGTGGGGAAGACGTGGGCTACCACCCCTAGGACTTTCCTGGTCATCCATTCAAGAGGTCGGGTTTCCTGACGGTCACACAGCAGCACCCTGGAGGAGAAGGCAGCCTGAGGAAGTTGGCAAGCCTAGATTGTACTACTCCCCAAACTAGTAATGCTGCAGGCAGGTCCTTTTAGATCAGGATCGAGCTACTGAGGAATAGATTAGTGCAGGAGGAGGATAGATTGCTAGCATCTGTGGAGACACTGGAACCACAGATGTGTATAATTATCTTGGATTTAGATGGCGCTTTTCTTCTGTATCTGTCCTGGACAGCTATGCCATGGTGAAGTCACAATGTCCCACTGATGGCAGCTGAGGCGGCAGTGCACGTTCCATAGGACTGACTGCTGCTGCTATTGGAATTCCCACCATGCTGCTCCAGGGAATGTTTACCTCCATACTACTTAGGTAAAGTGTGGTGAGGCCAATGCAATGGGTGCAATGGGACACTCCTAGCCAATGTTGTACAAGTAAGAGCATAGAATTTGAACTGGGAGGATGAGGGTTGAAATCCCTGCTAAGCCACAAAACTCAATAGATGAATAGCTCTGTCTAATCCGCCTCACAGGGTTGTTGTGCTGGCTGCATCCTACTAACCCACTAAAAGAGAGGTTAGGTAGCAAGGGATATATGTTGCCAATCGCAGCATCCCAAAACACTCCAAAAGTAGTTGGCGAGAGGAAGGCCCCAAAAATAGTTGGTCAGAGGGAGTCTCCATAGAAAAAAACACAGCCATATTGATTTCCTGTCTTAGAAAGGAGGGAGGGACAAGAACAAAATGAACTTTGTGTAACCCACAGCTAAGCTAGCCTGACCTCGAATCCAGTAATCAGAGGGACACTGGAAACTGGTTATAGCTACCATGAAAGTTGCAAATGTGCAGGGAATAAGAACATAAGCCTGTGTGAATCTCAAGCAGATAAGAAATAGACATGGGAAATGCTTGGGCCTTGCTGGTTTGGCTCTAAGTCGTCTCAGGCTCCTTTTGGCTCACCCTAAGCTGTTGATAGGCTGAGTTCGGTGACACATACTTGCCTGAACTCCATTCAGATACTTGGGTAAATAAATAAAAAGGATTGTGAAAGTCTTTGGGTATACACCGTTTGAACAAGACACACCCCATTATGCCCATATTACCTTTTGAACCTGGTTCCACATTCCTGATTATCGTCAATTTATTTTACTATTTCACATGAAGTCACCCATGAAAAGATGGGAAAATATTAGTTTTGCCAACTTCCCTAAATCACACCTATTAGAAAAAGGTGGTTGAAGCACACTCTGAGCTCACTTCTGTAATCTGGTGCTGTCCAGATGGTTTGAACTTCTCTTCCCATCTGCCCCAGTGGGCATGGCCAATGGCCAAGAAAGCTGAGAGTTAAAGTTCAAACCATCTGGATGGCACCAAGCTTAGGAAGATGAGGGAACCAATCCACTGTGACTGAACTGGCATTATATACATTCCTGGAGATGAAGCTGGGAAGTTCCTCAGAACGGCAAGTCCTATTGCCTATAGCCAAAAGAAGGCACATTGGTTTGCTTAGTCAAAGTCCAAATGGGCATTTGGGTGTCTTGTTTTCCTGCATGAAGGAAGGTTCAAATTAGAAGAGATCTGCAGTAGGCCAGGGCTTAAAAGGGCTTCCCAAAACTCCACTGCCTCTTCTGTGGTGTGGCTGACATTCTTTAATGACCTCTGCATGGCAATCAGCAGGGGAATGTTTGCTGTTCGGTCACCTGCCCCTGCCCACCCACTTCCCAATACTTACCCTGGCCTAAATATGGAGCACCGCTCAAATCCAAGTGCTTGGACCTTTTCCTCAACTTCACCCTGTGTCGGGGAGAGGAAATTGGGCCAAAGGTGAGATCCTTTCTCTCTGTGTCACACAGACACATGCCCAGAGAACTCAAAGTCCAATAGTCCAATTTTCAAATGGATCCAAGGGTGCTTCCAAGGAACAGTAGCTGGTGGCAGAGGAGACATCTGCTTGCAAAGCCCACATCCCAAATCACAGGCAAGAAAGGGCTGACCTTCCTGCTCACGAAGGGCTGAAATCCTCTCTTGACAGAGGACCCATCAGCCACGAGCGCTTTCTCCTCCATGGAAATGCATCCTGCTGCAGTCAGTGAGGTTCAGCAAAGAAGGCTAAAGCAGCAGGGAAGTGGCACCTAGCAAGGAGGCCGGGGGCTGTTGTCATGATGGCATGTGAGGGCACAGTGAGCCAGACCTCTTCTTGGTAGAATTCATGCTGGCAACACTAGGCCAATTACATGTCATCATGAGCGGAGTACCCTCCTCAGAGGCAAGTCTCTAGCCTGCAAGCACCCCTTCCTATTTTCGCAGGAATGCTGGACACCACCTGTTCTAGTCAGGTCCTACTGGAGAAATGATGAGGCAGCTACTGAGGTTCAGCACACAGTACAGTGAACTTTCCCAGTGTTCATGAGCCAACAGCATTTCCTGAAAGCCTGCCAAGGCCTCCTGGCCTTCAACTGGTTCTCGGAGCACCAGACATGAGCGCCTTGCAGCTGCCTTGCCCAGTTCTCCTGCAATAAGGCTGCCCTCAGGTGGGTGCAGAGCTGCTTGACTTACTGAGACAGCTTCGTTCCCAGGACTTGGGATGAGACTTGAGGGGTGGGGTGCTGACTGACTCTGGAATAGTGAGAGAGAGGAAGAGGAGCCATTCCTGTTCTCAGCTTGGGGTCATGTCTCTCACCCAGGAACCTCGGGAGCCCCCCAACCTACTCAGGGAACCAACAAGCTAGAGGAGTGTATGCTTTGTGTGTTCATTAATTGTCTGCACGCACATTTTGTCCTTGTATTTCATAAACAGCTGTTATCTTTGACACAGATGGTTCTGTGTTTTCCTAAGTATCCTAAAGTACTTGGCCTGATCAGGCCCGATGGTCAGAACACACCCTTCTTTCTATTTAATCCTGAGCACTTCACAGACCTGAGGTTGCTTCTGTTTGGCATATCAGGTTACAGCTGGAGTAACCCAGGTCTGAATCCCAACTCTGCCATTGAAGCTCCTTTGGTTACCTTAAGCAAATTGCCAACTCTCAGCCTAACTCACCCCACACAGTTGTTGTGAGGAGTAAAACTTCCTACTTTCCACTAACATTTCCCACCTTGAAACACACTGCCTAGGGCTTCTCTGCAGGACACACCTTAATCTTTGGGTACAAGAAGCCACTTGTCTTATCTGCGCTCTTGGTTGACACCAGGACAAAATGGCGGCAGCCACCAGCTTTGGCCAGCTGGGCAGAGTGCTCAACATAATCACGGTCGACACGCACGAATCCCTCCTGAGGATGGAGAGAAAAAGTGACACTTGGGAAAATGTCTTCATCTCAAGGGCTTGGGGTGGGTCAGCCCATGTTTAAAGACCACACTTCAAAAGATTTCATTTATTAGGACAAATGCAACCAGTGGATACAGACTGGGCAAGTCAGTTTTGGCCTGGGGAGACTAGGAGTGAATCTCTAGTCAGCCCTGAAAGCTGTAACCATGAATTCAGCTTGAATGTGAGGTGGGAAAATGAGGCAGCCCCATGCATGTTGTCCAGAGTGTCTTGGAAGAAGTGTGGTGGACACATATAATAAACCACCCAGACAGCTTCAGCATTTAAGTGAAAATGACAACAACTTTCAAAAACTTTGCATCCATTCCCATCCCACTGCCCAAAGACTAGCCCATTTCCCTCATTCCTTCCAACTTTTCCATTTCAACCTCCCTACTCACAGACCTGACAGGGGAAAGGAAGTCACCCACACTGCCACATGGGCTCCATCCTCCAACTCTGGAATGGACCTTTCCCTACAGCTTCTTGCTCCTGCTAGTCCCGCCACCTTTTCAGTTCCACCCACAGGCTAGCTATTGTTTTGTCTGCCCCATTGGCCCAGGCTCCTCACCGCTCCAGCCTTGGCCCTGGTTGTCCCCAGGCAGCAAAATCCAACGGCATGGCCTTGGAAGGCAGCAGCAGATTCATCCAGTTTCTCAAAGTCAACCACTTCTTGGCTCTGCAGGGATGGCCCAAACAAGAAACCAAAACCAGGAAAGAATCAATGAAAGATCCAGGTGGACAAATGGAGCTTTCAACAAGCAAGGAAGTAAACCCAGACATTTCCTTGTCTTCCCCCATCCCCATCAGAACAGAAATGCCTGACTCTTACTTAGAAGCCTTGATATGACTCTCACATCCCAGGGGACAAGGGACTTTATGCCATGGCAAGAGGAATAATGGGCAGTATTGGAGAAGGCAGCAGTTTCTAAAATGCTGCTGAGCCCACTGGAGGGAAGAGGAAGCCACAGACCTTCCACTCTGCCCATGATATGCTGAAATTTGAAACCAAGTAGGTCTTGCATGAATTTGCTTTTCCTTCTCCATTCCTTTCCATTTGTGATATGGTTTTTAGATTGTAAGCCTGTGGGGATCCTGTCCTAAGAAATGTCTTCTCTTTTTTCAGCTCTCACCACTGGCAGCCATTCTAGCAGGCTGTACTGAGGGGAAGCAAAGTGAGTCTCTTTTTGCTCCTCCATTTCCAATCTGTTTTCCTTGTGTGTCAAGCCTTTTTACATTGTAATCTGTGGGCAGGGAAACTAGGTCAGTTGCTCTGGGAGAATTTCTGGCTGAGGAGAGGTGGAAATATAATCAAACCTATAAAAATAATTGTTGCAAGCCACATTTGGAGGCTTTTTGTCTAAACAGTATAAAAATGCTATATGAAAGTAAATAAATGAATGAAGAAGGCCTGGTTCCAAACTATCTGAATGGGAGATAATCTGCTCTGCTTTTGTTATCTTCAGCTTCTTCTTCTGCTTGTTGTTGTTATTACATTTTTTAAAACAAAGTTTTACATTTGTGTTGTTTTCCCCCCACTTGGAAAAAAAGGTGGGAAATACATTCTGCAAAAATATTCAATGATGACTGTTTAATTCATCATTGATGAATGATGAATATTGAATATTCATCATTCATCAATGCCACTGGACATTGGCTTGGGTTTCCTACCACGCTGGCATAAAGCGGCCCTTGCAAGTTCAGCTTTCGGCGGCCAATCAGCGTCACCCTGGAGAACACCTGCTGTTGCAAGACCTCAACTAGCAGCTCTTTCCCAGTTTCACCAGAGGCACCCAGGATGAAACAGGATTGATTCTTTTCTTGGAAGGCCATTCGGAAAGCCTTCAGTTCTTCTGGATTTGGGACAGCCATTCTGTTTGGAGGAAGCAAGAAAAGGCACCATGAGAAAAGTCTGACATTGTACCTGGCAAGGTTTGGAATGAGCCAGGGCTTACCTTCTACAATATAAATTTAAGAAAAAATGTCAAGCAAACCCCCACAATTGTAATGTATTGCTTGATCTTTGCAACTGTGGTAGGTATAGCTATAGTAATTATACAAAGTATAGGATCTATGGTCCTAAAACTGAGAAAATTAAGGTTGCAATCCTTTACAGAGCTTCCTGCGAGTAAGTCCCATTGACCTCAAGAGGGCTTCCTTTTGAGTAAATTTATATAACATTGCATTCTTAGGCACATCTACTCAGAAGTCGAGCTGATTTATTACATTTATGTTGCTATTGTTACATGCTATCAAGTTGTCTCTGATTAATGATGGTCCTATGAATAAGTGCCCTCCAAAATGTCCTCTCCTTGACAGCTCTGCTCAGTTCTTGCAAACTCAAGGCTGTGGCTTCCTTTATTATTACTAACTGGATTTTTAGCCCATCCCATTAGCTACACAGCTCCCTGGGCAGGTTACAAAGTTAGGGTAACTTTATGGAATGAGCCATCCTGTATCTGGTCCTCTTCTTCCTCTTCTGCCTTTTCCTAGCATGACTGTCTTCTCCAATGAGTCTTATCTTCTCATGATGTGTGAGAAGAACATTGGCTTCACTTTTATTATTTTTGCTTCCAAGAGAAGTTCTGCCTTGATTTGATCTAGGACCCACTTGTTGGTTTCTCTGTCTAAGCAGGGTCTTCGCAAAGCTCTCTTCTATCAGCATGCTTGGAATGCATCAATTTTCTTTCTATCATCTTTCTTCACTGTCCAGCTTTCACAAACGTGCATAGCGATTGGGAATACACTATGATGACCTTGACCTCTTGCGAAAGGTCTTTACACTTGATGCAAGGACTTCATTGCTTTCCTTCCCAGTGTTTGTCTCCTGCAGGTACAATTTGAATTGATGGCTGGGCCAAGGTATGCAAAATCTTTCAAAATCTCAGTTTCTTTATTGTTACTGTGACTACTGTATAGTCATGATTTTTGTTTTCTTAATGTGCAGTGCAGTTTCTTTTGCACTTTCCTCCATCACTTTAATCAGTAATTGTTTCAATTCATTGCTGCTTTCTGCCAGTAATACAGTATCTGCATATCCCAAATGACTGGTGTGTCTCCCACCCATTTTCACTCCTTTCTCTGATCCAAACCCAGCTTTCCTTACCGCATGTTCTGTGTACAGACTGGACAGGGACACCAAATGCATTCTTGCCCGATACTTTTGCCTATAGAAACCATTCTGTTTCTTCATACACTGCCCTAATAGTAGCTTTTTGTCAGAAATACAAGTTATGCATCAGACAATCAAGTGTTGAAACACACCAAGTCCTTTCAGGGCCATCCATTGGTTTTTGTGGTCCACACAGTCAAGCGCTTTGCTGCAGTCTATAAACACAGACTGATCTTCTGAAATTTTTTGGTATGCTACAGTAGCCAACGTCCCACTGCCTGTAAACTTCCTGCTCGACACTCAATCTTACAACAACCCTGTGAGATAAGTTAGACTAAGAGGCTGCAACCGGTCCAAAGTCAGCCTGTGAGCTTCATGACTGAATGGGGACTAGAACCCGAATCTCCTGAATCCTATTCCAACACTCTAACCACGGCACAACACTGGCTCCCACCAGTCCAATGAGTCCCACGGAAGCCAGGAAAAATCTCAAATCCAGACGCGACGTTAGTCATTTTCATCGTTTATTTCTCAACCTAAGATCATCTCTTCACCAGCACTTCCGGAGCTCCTCCCAGAAGCAAGACGTCACTGCAACAGACATCCTGCTATTGCGAATGCTGCAGCTGCAGTGTCACGTACCTGCCACCCAGAATGGGGATCGAGCGAAGGCGCACAGAAAGGCCCCAGCGGCGCCCAGCCGATCTCAGAGATCGTTCCCGCTCTTTTTTCCCAGGGGCATTAGGCGGTGAAGCAAGAGGGGCCTCGCCGAACTCGTCGCAAGGGGCATTAGGCGGTGAAGCCGTCGCTCGGAGTGGAGCGGAAGGAAAAGTAAACCCCGCCGCCGCGCCACTCACCTTCCCCGAAGCCGCAGCGCTCACAAGCACGTCCCTGCCCTCCTAGCGACTCCCGTCAGACTAGGCGCGCATCGAAACGCATGTGTGGATGCGCGCCGTCGCCTCCTTTTCTGCGGTGGCCTCGCCTACTGGCCCTCGTGCCTCCAGTGCGCGCCAATCAGAGGGATTTGTGTGGGTGAGCGTGGGTGAGCGTGGGTGGGCAGGGAAAGGCTCCCCTGTCAGCGGGGAGACCAGCCCGGCGCCGGCTTTTTTCTTTTTCCTCCTCCTCCACTTCCTTATTTTTCTTATTCTTTTTCTTAATTTCATTTTTATACCTTCTGTAGCCGAAGCTCTCTGGGCGTTACACAACAAAATATAAAACAGTAAAATCGAATAGATAAAAACAATAAGAATGAAAAAAAAAATCATTACAATAACACAAAATAACATTTAAAGACAATTTTAAAACCCCGGCCAAGAGTAAAAGGCGCCTGGCCGATTCTTTTTCTGTTTATTCAGACTTTTAAAGACCATATTCAGGTTTTCTTTTAAGCTGCTGCTGCTGATGATGATTATGCGGATGTTCAGGTTGATGGTTCAGATTCTTGGTTTTGTTTGGGTTTGCATTGACTGGAACTGTGTTGGCTGTGGGTTGTGTTTCCAATGTTAGTCCAACTAGAGTTAGGCACATTGAAATGAATGGGAATTCAATGAGATTAACTTTCTGGGATAATAATATAGACAATGACCCCCAGTATAGCTTTATTGGCATGGAAATATATTGTACTCTAGTAGGAGCTATGCTACTAGAGTAGCATAGCTACTTGCTACTTGCTACAAGTACTAGCTACTTGTGCACTGCTGGATATCCTGCGCCAGGTGTGGCCAAACTGAAGCTCGGGAGCTGCAGGCGGAGTTTATTTTGCAGCTCACGGCTCACCACCCACAGCCGCCACCTTGACACTGGCTGCCAGCGCTCGCCTCACGGGCGCCCTCTTGTGGCTTTCAAACACCTGGCAGTCAGCTTATGGAGCCACCCCTGTTCTATGCTTTGTTGTTAGTCGCGAAGTCGTGTCCGACCCATCGCGACCCCATGGACAACATTCCTCCAGGCCTTCCTGTCCTCCACCATCGCCCGGAGTCCACTTAAGCCCACGCCAACTGCTTCAGTGACTCCATCTATCCACTTCATTCTCTGCCTTCCCCTTCTTTTGCCATCCATTGTTCCCAGCATTAGACTCTTCTCCAGGGAGTCCTTCCTTCTCATTAGGTGGCCAAAGTATTTGAGCTTCATCTTCAGGATCCGGCCTTCTAAAGAGCAGTCAGGGTTGATCTCCTCTAGGACTGACCAGTTTGATCGCCTTGCTTTTCAAGGGACTCGCAGGAGTCTCCGCCAGCACCACAATCCAAAGGCCTCAATTCTTCAGCGCTCAGCCTTCCTTATGGTCCAACTTTCACAACCATACATTGCAACTGGGAAAACCATAGCCTTGATTATATGCACTTTTGTCGGCAGGGTGATGTATCTGCTTTTTAGTATGCTGTCTAGATTTGCCATAGCTTTCCTCCCAAGGAGCAAGCGTCTTTTAATTTCTTGGCTGCAGCCACCATCTGTGGTGATCTTGGAGCCCAGGAAGATAAAATCTGACACTACCTCCATTTCCTCCCCATCTATTTGCCAGGGAGTGAGAGGACTGGACACCATGATCTTAGTTTTCTTAATGTTGAGTTTCAAGCCAACTTTTGCACTCTCCTCCTTCACCCACACCAAGAGTCTCTTTAGTTCCTCTTCACTTTCTGCCATGAGAGTGGTATCATCTGCATTTCTGAGGTTGTTGATATTTCTCCCAGCAATCTTAATTCCAACTGGTGATTCATCTAGGCCCGCCTTTCTCATGATGTGCTCTGCATAGAAGTTAAATAGGCAGGGTGACAGTATACAGCCTTGCCGAACTCCTTTCTCAATTTTGAACCAATCAGTGGTTCTGTGCCCAGTTCTCACTGTTGCTTCTTGACCCACATATATGTTTCTTAAGAGACAAATAAGATTGTCAGGTACTCCTATCTCTTTAAGAACTTGCCACAATTTGTTGTGATCCACACAATCAAAGGCTTTAGCATAGTCAAAGAAGCAGAAGTAGATGTTTTTCTGGAACTCTCTAGCTTTCTCCATGATCCAGCAATTTGATCTCTAGTTCCTCTCCCTCTTTGAAATCCTGCCTGTATTTCTGGTAGTTCTCGGTCCACATACTGCTGGAGCCTAGCTTGTAGGATTCTGAGCATAACTTTGCTAGCATGTGAAATGAGTGCAATGGTGCGGTAGTTTGAACATTCTTTGGCATTGTCCTTCTTTGGGATGGGAATGTAAACTTTGGGATCCTGTGGCCACTGTTGAGTTTTCCAAATTTGCTGGCATATTGAATGTTGCACTTTTACTGCATCGTCTTTTAAGATTTTGAATAGCTCAGCTGGAATGTTCTATTCTAGCCTTAGACAAAAAAAGCCTGACTGACTACAGGGAGAGGGCTGGAGAGAGAAAGAAGCCTTGCATTTCCTTGTGAAGAGGTACAGGTTCTGGATCTGACAAATGTGCAGTGAAACAGAATTTCACACTTGAAGGGCAACCACCGCGAACACCTCTTAGTGTGCCATTGCAGGTCCGATGTGGCGAGTCAGGGAGTAATACGTTCCTATGATAGCGTTCAAGATTATCTCGCTAAAGAGAATGTAAGTGCACAGTGAACTGCTTTGCATGCCATGGCAGTTATTCCTGCATTATTTCAGCAGAATATATGAGCCATCTGCTCATAATTTGTTTGTGATTATTTGTTAATGTGTGAACCCAGAAACTGGGTTGCTTATGGGTTAAGCAATCCAGGGGCAACCCAATAATTGCCTGTGGTTTGTTTTTCAAGGCTTGCATTGAAAATGAGTTTTAGATAGAAGCACCTATAAAATAAAAATTTGGGTGAGACGTAAAGAAGGAGAAAAAACTTTTTCTTTCATTCTCACCATAAGATATTTGAGAGTCAGACCAGATGCAAAATGTACTTTAGATGCAAAGAAACAATTTTGGCCCTTAGTTTTGAGTTGTTACTGGGTGTAATAGTGCAATCCTATAGATGTCTGCATAGTAGTAATGCCCATTGACTTCATCCTTAAGTGGGCACAGAATTTTAGCCTCATTTATATTGGACCTCTTCGTTCAGAAGTTTTATTTAATGCATTTTTATACCACTCAATAGCCAAGGCTCTCTAGGCAGTTAACAAGTTAAAAATAAACAAATGTTTAAAAGATACACACAAATATGAATTTAAAAGAATAAAACTGTAATAGCAATAGCAATTGCTACAGTTCAGCACAGGAACATAGCAGCAATACAGAATAAAATGGAATAGGTAAAACCAAAGTTTAAAAGTTAAACTATTAAAATACTGGGAAAATAAAAAGACCCTCACTTGGTGCCAAAAAATGCTAAGGAAGTGCCTGGCACACCTTTTTGGGGAGCTTATTCCAAAAGTTATACATCTGTGCTAGACAAAATCCTATAGATGCATTGTGCAGTATCACTGAAGTGACAAAAGGTGCAATCATTAAGAAAAGTCATGTTTCTTGGGTTTTGAGCAAGGCAAAAGTAGATCTTCAGGTGTTCTGGACTCCCAGAAGTCCTGGCAATCATAGCTGGTGGTCAGGAATGCTGCAAGTTGGTTCAAAACCTCTGGAAGTTCATAAGGCCCCCTGTGCATTATAACATATGAAGTGACCATACTTAAAATATTAAAATATTGCGTACAGCTCTGGTCTACTTAAAAAGAATATTGTCGAGTTGGAAAAACTGCAGAAAGGGGCAACTACATTCATTGAAGGGATGGAAAAACTTCCTTGTAGAAGGTTACAGCTTCTTGGATTGCTTAGCTTGGAAAAGGGGCAAGTAAGGGAGACATGACAGAAGTGTACAAAATTATACATGGAGTGGAGAAAGTCAATGGGGGCTTTTCTTTGTCTTTTCTATAATACCATAATCCAAAGAGGTCATCCCCTGAAGCTGATTGGTGGGAACCTCTGGACGGGTAAAAGGATGTATTTCTTCACACTGTATATAGCTGAACTATGGATATCAGTCACATGTATGTATGTAACAAGCCCATCAATTTGGATGGCTTTGAAAGGAGATTAACAAATTCATGAAGGATAAGGTAACAAATTCTGTTGGTGATGTGCTACCTCTAGTATCAGAGGCAGCAGTTGCTGGGGCACATGGGTACATGGGTCCTGTTGGCAATCATGGTTTCCCATGGACAACTAGTCTATCTCTGTGTGAACAGAAAGCTGGACAACATGGCCTTGATCTGATCCAGCAGGGATTCTCTTATGTACTTTACACCTGTCTTTCCTTAAACAAAAGGAAATATCGTGAACGGAGCTGGCTGGAGCCAGAGGTCAGACTAGATGACCTGGGCAACCCCTTCTGACTTGCTCTGTTTCTATGTTTTTAAAGGCATAGGAAATCTTTTGTCCCAGTTTCCATCCATCTATGACACTGTTTCCCAGAGGTTACATAGAAACAGAGCAGAGCAGAGCAAACAGTCAGAAGGGGTCTCCCGGGCCATCTAGTCTGACCTCCGGCACCAGCTGGCTCCACTCACGACATGCCCACCATGTGGACGTCCAGCCTATCCTTGAACACCTGCACCAATGGGGCCTCAACAACCTCCCCTGGAAGCCCACTCCACACCCTCGGGGTCCTGAATGTCAGGATGTGCTTCCTGGCATCTGAATGGAACCTTGGCTCCCTGCGCTTTGCTCCGTTGGAGCATGTCCTGCCCTCCTCTGCAGGGGAGAACAGGTGAACCCAGCTCCATGTGACATCCCCTCACATACCTGTATGACGCCAACATATCCCCTCTGAGTCTCCTCTTCTCCAGGCTGAAGAAGGTTGTTGTACTACAAATCCCATCATTTGGCCATTGGGGATTTTGGGAGTTGTAGTCTAAGATATACAGTCCTATGGCTGGGGAAGGTTGCTGAACAGGTGAAATTATTAAGAACAATGAACAGAGATGTTGTGACTAGGACTCAAGATTTCTGCAAACTACCAATGCCCAATCCTC